CTTGAGGCGCTGAGCGCTGGGGCGGCCTGCTGCTGAGGCGCGCGCAGGGCGCGGCGCACGCGCCGCGCCCGGGCGCAGGGGCACCTGGAGCTGACGACGCCGGGCGCCCGGCGGGCGGCGGCGGCGCTTGCGGCGGGCGCGGCGCGCTGGGCAGCGGCGGCGGGCTGCGCGGGCGGCGCCGGCTGCGGGGGCGGCGCTGCAGCTGGGCGCGGCCGCCAGGCGGACGGAGCCGGCGCTCTGGCAGACGCGCGGCGCGGCGGCGGCGCTGCCTGGCGGGCTGGCGCGGCGGCCTCCGGCGGCATCGCCGCGCGGGCGGCGGCGGCCGCGGCGGCGCCCGGCGGCGCGGCGCGCGTCCCGCGCCAGCGCGGCGGAAGCGGCGCGCCCGGCGGCGGGGGGTGGACGGCGCCGGCCGGGCCGCCGAGCTGCGAGCTGCCGCGGCGGGCTGCTGCGGCGCCGGGCTGCGCCGGGGCGCCGCTCGCTGACTGAGCTGGAGGAGCTGGACGACTAGCCGAGCGGGGCCCGGGCTTGCCCGCACCCCGCTCGGGAGGTGTCGTCGCGACGCTCCTGGAGCTCAGAGCGGGCGCAAGCGCGGGCGCGGCGGCAAAGGGACCCGCGCCGCGGCCTTCGCAGGAGGAGGATGAGGAGGAAGAGGAGAAGGGGGTATACTGAGAGGAGGAGGATCACGAGGGGGAGGAGGAGGACGACGACGACGAGTGGGGGGAGGATGAGAAGGTGAAGAGGAAGAGGAGCAAGAGGAGGAAGAAGGAGAGGGAGAGGAGGAGGAGGAGAAGGAGGAGGAGGAGGAGGAGGAGGCGACAGAGGAGGAGGAGGCGACGGAGGAGGAGGAGGAGGCGACGGAGGAGGAGCGGTGAGGAGGGTGGAGGGCGAAGCGCGCTGAACAGGAGGAGGAGGAGGAGGAGGAGGAGGAGGAAAGCGAGGAGGAGGAGGAACGCGAGGAGGAGCCCCACGCCCTCGCCGACATCGTCCTCGCCGATACCGTGCCCTTTCCGACATCGCCGACCTTGCCGTCGTCGTTTTATTCACGTTCCCAAGTGTTCTCATGGTCGGCTCACTCCTGCTCTTTGTTGCCATCGCTCCCCCAGTGTCCTCCTCCCCCTCCTCCTCCTCATCCTCCTCATCCTCCTCATCCACCACGCTCATCCTCCTCCCCTCCTCCTCCTCCCGTCATCCACCTCGTCATCCTCATATCCATTCACGGCCTCCCTCCTCCTCCGCCAAGCATCATCCTTGTTGCACGGCGCCCCTAAAACATCCTTGTTGCATGCACGGCGCCCTCAATACATCCGTGTTGCACTCCTTCTCCTCATCCTCCCTCTCCTCCTTCTCCTCATCCTCCCTCTCCTCCTCCTCCTCATCATCATCTTTCTCCTCCTTCTCCTCCTCTTCCCCCTGCCCCTGTTCCTCATATTTCTTCTGCTCCTCCTCCTCCTCAGTCTCTTCCTCGCAGTCCTCCTCCTCCTCCTCCGCCTTCTCCTCCTCCTCGTCCTTGTAGTCCTCCTCCTCCTCCTTTTCCTCCTCCTCTTCGTAATCCTCCTCCTCCTCCTCCCCCTCCTCCTCCTCCTCCTCCTCCTCTGTCTCCTCGTCTCATCCTCGTCCCACCCCCTCCCTGCTGACAGCCATTCCGCTTCGCTGCTCTGGGCACCAGCAAGGACGCCACTGAGGTATATGAGAGCTACGGCCTCAAACCTGACGGGATCAGGACTTGCGACGCTTCATCGCGGTCTGCGGCGAGGTAAATGCAACCTGCCAGGACACACGATGCGTCAACTATCTTGGGGTTCTCTAGAACCCTGCACCGAGCAAACGTCGGAAACATATCCAACGTCTCCCAACACGAAATGCAAGCGAGCACGGACGAGGCGAGGTCCCTGCGCGAACCCCGAAAAACACTTGTCCAAACGACTGTCCACTTGGACCCGACACCATCACAACATCTCCCATGTTCACAGTCCTGCATCTGATGTAGCAGGAATTTGCCGTCCACAGGTCATCAGACCCTCCTAGATTGTACACGGACCCCAGCGAAGCCAACAATTTCTTGCTAGGCCGCCGGGGCTCGAGGAGATCGCACCGATCGGGCGGCGACCTCAAATCCCACAGATGCTGCAACACAACTTTCTCCATTAATCCACGGTCGTAGGCCAACGTGCCGTGGCGCTCATCAGCAAAGCGCTTTAAAAGTCTGTGCTTTCGTTCGCACAGGAAACATGATACCAGGCACTGGTCCCGCAGAAGCTGGCGCGGGAGGTGCGTCGCCCAATGGCTCTTGGGCCTCCACAGCTCCAGGCCGTAGGCCTGCCTCTGCGCATTGAGATGATCGATGATCGCCTCTCCCAGCTCCACTGGGGAGACTGAACCACCGTTCGAGCGGTGCAGACAGTCCATGACTGTGCACAGCTTGAGCATGCTATCAACATGGTCGAGGAGTACGCCCCGTGGCTGCACAAAGTCTCTCAAGTATTTGGCAAGAACTGGGCACAAGCTGATCTACTCGGATGCCGACCCCCCCCCCCCCCCCTGGCTTGCAGGCGGCGTTGTCATCGCATATACTGCGTGCATCTGCATACGCGCCAGGCCACGCCCATACGCTCAGAAAAACAGTCAGCCTCTTGCCCCCAAGCTCGGACGGGAGCACACCGAAAAGAGCTTTCAATTCGATCTCGAAGATTCCTCCAACCACATCGACGTGCATCCAGTCCCAGCTCCACGCATCTACTACTCGAAGGGCGATGTGCGGGTCCTGGAGGACCCCCGATTCAACGTACCGCCATCCAAGTGCCGTTTCTAGTGCAGCCAACTTGGCCTTGGACGTGTCATGCGTGTGTTTCAACTGCGCCTGAATGCTGTGCAGTGACTCGTTGGTTGCTCTCTCGAACACGGTGGGGTCCAAGTTGGCTGCGCTCTGCAAGTAGCCTGTGCCATCGGGGAGCCACGCCGATTTGTGCGATACAGCATTGGCGCACAAGGCGCACACCTTGTGCCCCGTCGCCCCCATGCACTGGAACGCGAACTTGCGCGCCCGCTCGTCCTGCACGACCTGGGCGAGCCTGCCGAACAGCAGCCTTTTTGGGGGAGTGGGCACAACGCAGGCGGATCGAAGCTGGGGTGGGTGCTGATCCCCCCCCCCACCCCCTTCCCTCTCCCATGGGTGGGTGCTGATCCCCCTCATGAGCAGGTTTGAGGGTGGGTGTTGATCCTTACCCTCCCCTGCCTCTTTCGCAAGCGCTCCCCTCACCCGAACCCCCATTCATCTTCTACGTTGGCCTCCTCGTCCCCCACCGCCTCCAAGCCCTCGGCCCATGCCCTCGCCCTCCGTCCTCCACCGCCTCCTCTCCTTCACGTGCCCTCCTCGGCCTGGGGTGAGGGAAACGGTGGGGTGCGTCGTGCCCTGCGAAGCAGCCTCGGCCGCCCGTCGCCTGGCACGTGGAACGATACGCCGCTGCGGAGGTCGACGCCCGACGGGCTGCCGAGAAATAGCTGCAGCACCAACTTGACGAGTTCTGACATCCCTCCCGCCAGCTTCGAGACGCTCGTTGATCTCGCGCCGCATACTGTGAACCATGCACCTTCGTTGGCGAGAAGCGGCCAGTTGAAGTCCCGCACCGTCCAGTAGACCGCCGCCAGGCGCAGTAAATTGTGGCCCCCCAGCGCGTTGCCAGGGACCACTTCGTCAGAGTAGAAAACTGTATTGATGAAGTTGCCAGTGCGGTTCAGCACGCTCACCAGCGCGCTCTTGAACGACTCGGACTCCTTGCGCGCAGCTTCGAGAAACGCCCACGGGTGGATGCAGAACATGCCTAAATCCTTGTTGGCCGACTTGCAGCGTGCAGGCAGGGGTTGCACGATCGGTTCGAAACTTGTTTGTTGATATGATATATGCTGCCTTGCTCTCTGAATCGAGAACGCACTGTAGGCCGACGGGAGGTCCTCATTGGAAAGGGTTCTCAACAGCTTCGGTAGCGCCGCGGCGCTGGCATGTGACTCCCTGCCGAGGTCTGTGAGACACGCTCGTTCCTTCGGGCGGTCTGTCATGCGTGAATTTGCTTGAGCCGAAACGGCTACTGACGAGCGCACTTGCGCAGCTCAGTTTATGTAGCCACCGTGCGCGTTGCCACGGCCTGCGTTTCAGTTCAACCGTCTGTTTTTTCGTCATCCTCCTTCCATCATCTCATATTCGCCGCCTCGTTCCTCTCCCCCTCGCCCTCTCCTCCATCGCCCCCATTCGGCCCCCTCTCTCCCCTCCTCCTCCCCCAACGCCACGCCATGCATATTGGCCCGGCCTATGGCGCAGCGCTGGGTGCGTGGGCGCACGGTTTCAGCGTCGACATGCCGTTTTAGGGACGAATGCCAGGATTGGAATCTCTGCGGCCCCACGCCAACCACTGGGAATGCTAGCGACCAAGCTCGATGAGGCCTTGTTCGAGAGTGGGGCGCGTGATCGGGCGGGATGGCCCAGAGAGCGAGGGGGGGGAACAACGGTGACGGGCGCTTTACAAAACATTCGGGGGCTCCGAGGGTGCGGATGCTAGGGCGGGAACAATGGCATAGCCGCCATCGCCATCGCATCCAACAGGCACACATTAACCATCACAGCCTTCGGCCTCACCCTCAAGCACAAAGGCTATATGGGGCCGCGGAAGCTACGACGGCCATTGGGACATGATGGTTAAGAAGGCCATGAACAAACCGCCATTGGGGGGTGCGTGTATGTTGGCCCTGACGGCGCCGAGGATTGAACCGCAATGTTGATGCCTAGTGTTTCTGACGGTCCACGTGGCTTCAGCCCCCGTACGACTATGCACTCCAACGGTGCCAGAGCTCGCAGTTCAACAGTGCACTCGCCCTTTCGTGTACGAAAGCACGCCGACAACCCCATGCGCACTGGCATGCACGTGCATGCCACTTAAAATGTGCTGAACTCTGGCGAGCGAGGAAACTAGAGCACGCCACATCAAAACTGCAGCGTCGGTAGGGCAAGCCTAGCGGGCGGTGCTCCAGAAGCTCCCAGCGTCCTCGTAGGCCGCGCGGCCAATCACCTTCAAAATGTCACCAGTGATCCCCATGGCCTTCGCCGAGGAGATCGCGGCAGAATACGCACGAGATGCGAACGTGTTCTTGTCGCGGCACATGGCGTCCTTTTTGTTGAGGCAGCGGCTGTAGTCGATGCCCTTCGGCATCGCGAACTTGGCAGCCCCACCTGGGCGAACCGCCGTGCGTTGGCAACAAGAAACATAAACACTCGCCCTCTCCACTTGGTAGGGATATAGAGTCTACCTCCCCCCTCACTCCTCTGCCGCACTCCCCCTCCACCACATATTCATCATCATTCCCTCCACCCCCGAACACGGCAGCGACGAGGGCGCGCGAAGTGGGGTGATTAGAACGGTGTCGCGGGCCCACCGACCCCGAGATGAGCAGCACACTTAGCACGGCTATGTTTTTTGGGTGGTCCAGGGGTCGAGGTTTGCACGACGCATATGGTTTGGGCAAGTTTAGTTGCAGCGCCGCGCCACCTGGAGCGGCCGCTGCAGGGCGCTTCAAGACAGCTGCGGCGGCAGGCTTAGCCTTCATGCCCTTGCGGGCTCCGCCGCGGCCCCCGCCACCTCCCCTGCCGCGGGCCTTCCCACGGCCCCTGCCACGGCCGCGGGCAGCGCCTGCGCCAAGCGCCTCGCCCTCGGGGGCCTCATCGCCCACCTCGTCCTCGGCGCCTCCGCCAAGGTCGGCGAGCCTCGCCCCGCGGGCCTCGGCCGCCAGCGCCATCCTCGCGGGCAGAGGGAGGGGGGGGGGATGGCACAGCACCCGCCCGACGGTGGCAGGGGGGGGTGGCGACGGCTAGTGCGACGAGGACCCCACCGACGGCGGCGACGGGGACGGCGGTACTAGGGGCGGTTGAAACCAGGGGCGTGTGTTTTTTGACTTGGCTGATCCCCTGACCCGAACGAGTCCAAACGCACCGCCAATCCCACTCGGAGTGGCGCTTAGGACAACGTTGCGGCCCGCTGGCGTTGGCCCAGGAGGGGATGAGGAGGGCGCGGAGGAGAAGGGCGAGGAGAAGGATGAGGAGGAGGATGAGGGAGGAAGGAGGAGGATGAGGAGGAGGGAGGAGGAGGGAGGGTGAGGGAGGGGGATGACCTAAGCCCAAGGTGACCAACGTTTCCTTCCCACACCTACTGTTTAAGCTGTCATACGTGCTCTTCGCCCGCGTCGCATAGCATTGCATAGCATACGCATGCATGTTGGATCAGTCGTGGTGCATTGAGTCGCTCACGAGGCTCTCTCGGGGCAGCTCAGGGGCCTGACTGACAACGCAGCCGATGGCAATTTAGAGTCGTAGCGGTTGGCATCGCAAGCACCCGTCCTTTCGGTGTCTTATTGAATATACGTTGGGCGCCCACTGAGATTTTGATGGGCCCACCTTGAAGCCCTTGTGGTGTCATCTTGGGGGCACCTTCGCGACCTCAGGGGGTTCTTGGGGGTGGGCATCCTGGTGGCCTTCGGCGAGACAGTGGTTCGCAGTGTCATCGCATCGGTCGCTTCGTGAGCTTATCGCACGCCCCCATCCTTGATGGCTCAATCGGGCCCTGCTTGGAGACGCTATCGAAGATCAACCGTCGCCCCGCTCCCCCTCTACCTTCCCGCCCCATCGCGCACTCCACTCGCCCCCAATGCTTCGATGCGTAGCCCTGGGTGGTATCCCGTGGGAGGGGGGGGGGGGAGCGGCAACCCCGCAGATAGTATCATGGAGGCATCGGCATCTCTCATAATACAAACGCGCGTCTAGCAAGATCGAGGCAGGGCGGCGACGAGGTGCGATGACTCGAGGGAGGAGGAGGACGTGGAGGGGGCGGTGGGGTGAGTAGCATGCGGTGGGGATATGGTTTGGTTTGCTGCACCCTGAACTGCAAAAACTAAGCGTGCCTAGAAACCCTGGGACACATGGTAATGGTGGGCATGTTACGCTCCCAGAGCTCTTCTTCTCGAGCTCGCCGGCCGCGTCCGTGGGCGCGTCAGTTGGGCAAGGCGGCTCAAACTGAGCTGGCACGCTTCCCTGCTGGGGCCTGTCCAACAACGCCAGAGGCGATGCCCCGCCACTCGGTGCCGAAGACGCCTCCTGGCCCCCTGCGGGCGACATGGGCAGCTCTGCGAGCGTCCTGGGTCGCGGGCGAGGCCTCATGTCGGCGAGGGCACCGCTCCCGTACGCGATGGCACCGCTTGCCGTGCCCGCGGCGCCGCTGTGACCCGTGAGCATCTGCGTCGCAGGGAGCAGCAACGATGCCATCTGCGTCATGACCTCCATCGGTGTAGGCTGGATGCCCTGCTGGAGGTTCAGCACGGGGACTGCGGCGTTCGGCGAGTGGCTCGAGGGGGCCGCACCGTCCTTGAAGGCCTTGTGGGTCTTCCTGTAGCCCCCCATGCCCAAGCCGCGCTGCACTGGCGGCACGACGGGCCCAGCGCCACCGTCGTGCGCAAAGGCAACCAAGTCAGCGCCCAAGTGGGAAGGGAGCGGCGGGTAAGTCCTGATGTGGGCGAACGTGTGCCTGTGCTGGCCGTCGAGGGTCTTGATCGCTGGCTGTATGTTCGTCGCTATGGTCTTGAGGTCATGCGCTGGCTTCGCATTGACCCGCGGGCCACAGTCCATGATGATGCTGACGGCTGCTTTCAGAAGCAGCTCGCTTGGGCACGTCATGCCCAAACGCCACATACGGCTTGCCAGTGCGGGAACCTCCGGAGGCTCAGCCAAGTTCCCGTCGCGCAGGGTCGCCCAGTCCGATTCGGTCAAGTAGTGGTCGAGGTCGTCGCAGCGTTGCTGCGGCCTCGCGGCAACAGGCGCACCTGGCCCTGACGCCGCTGCGTTGCCCAGCGCAGCAGCCATTGCCTGCTTCTGCTCATCCGTCCACGGGCCGATCGATACCTCGGCCGAGATGGTGTTGACGTCGGCCATGCTGACGGTGCCCATCTGGTTGATGTGGGCTATCAAGGCGTTCGTCTGGCTCTGCAGCAGCGTGGCAGGGTCCAATCCGTTGCGCACCTCGGCCTCCGCGAACTGAACGCGCAGCCTTAGGGTGTTGACCATCGCATCGGCCGCCGTCACGGCCATGCCGCCAATGCAGTCGGCAAACACTGAGCAGCCTGAGTAGCGAGCGCGAGTGATGACAAGCAAAGGTTTGAGCCAAAACGGCTGCCGACTACTGACTGACACGAGCGAGGGAAACTGTAGACAACCGCTGAAATTACACAGGCCTGAGGTGCACTCCGCCGTCAGACACGTGGGGATGTGGCACCTGGGAAGTCATTGGTGTTACCCAGAACTCACGCCTGAGGTGGTTACCGAATGCCCCAGCAGCGCCACCGCGCGCCCTCTAGCGAGCGCGACGGCACCTACGGCCTGCCAAGAGATGCTCTGGGATGACTGCGACTCGACTCCACGTAGGCACCCCTGGGTATGGCACCCCAATGTTCCAATCGCCAGCTGGCGATTGGAACATGCCTAACAAGCCATGTTGGCGTTCCAATCGCCAGCTGGCGATTGGAACATCGGGGGCGCCCCCAACGCCTCTGTGCGGAACGAGCCCCGCCGCATCCGACGGACGCCGCCAGACGGCGTACATGGCTGGACATTGCAGACGTTTCAGGGGCTCGCCACAACCTGAACGGAACGGATATGTGTTTGGGTCATGCGTTGGGGGCGTTGGCAATCAGGTCCGAGCCGATGCAGATCACGACTAAGTTCGGTCCCTGGGGCCGTTCAGGATCGACGTGGAGAGGGTGCGCGGGTGGTCGCGACAGCGTGTATTGAACCCCTCAAGCGCGCTAACCTTTGCTATATGTGATGGGAACGCAGATGTTTTCCTAGCGCGTTCTACTCCTTGCTATCTGCATGGTTTACTCTGCCTGGCGGCTGCACTGGCACAGCCACGTCGACGGCACTGCCGATGCCCCCCCTAGCACCAGCGAGAACTACGAACTGACGGTTGTTACGCGCCACTCCTTAACGCACAACCTGCCCATCATCAGCGCTCGCGGAGTTCCGGCACTGTAGGTGGTTCCGAGTGGTGTTCCAACCGAAAATCTGCGAGTGAAGTGGCCGCCGTGGCCAGGCGGGTGTCGAATTCCTCGGAGTCCGCGGGGGCGGGGATGCTGTGTGTTTTCCATTTGCCTTTCTCCTTGCAGTAGCTCCGCGTCCGCACTGACGACCTGTGTGGCAACCAAGCGACGTGCTCAGGCAATGAGCCGACATCGGCGATGCAATCACTCTGCTGCGGGGAAGCCTTCTTGGTCAGGAGAGCGAGGGCCTCGGGCGTGCACTCGATGGCAAGCTTGCTGCGGTGCTGGGCCGCGGACTGCACGCGAAGCGCGTGGATCGTGCCCTGGGCGTCCTTCACCTCCACGGTCAATATGGAAGGGATATCGTCGACCATCTCGCGCCTCGGGCGTTTTGGCAAGTTGTTAGGGCTGTCTCCGCTGCTTGATGATCCGCTGCTCAGCGGATCGCTCGCGGGCGCGAGCGAGGCCATCTGGCGATCCACCTCGGAGTTCCGCGCATCCACGATCGCGTTGAGCATCGACATGTCGGACTTCGCGAAAGACATGAACTTGGAGCACGTCCTGTCCACGAGCACATACACCACGCCATCAACCTCTTTGGTTTCAGCTACCCACGACGATGGGATGCTCTGGTCACCGTCCATGGAGACGCTGATGAGGTCGCGCCTGATGCGCGCCATGACCGAGCGCGGCACTTGAAGTCCACAGCTGGCACCGCCGACGGCCGACGAAACACACTCGAGCCAAAATGGGCTGCACTTGGATGGAGGAGGCATTGGTGGTGAAGGACGGGCAGGGGCAGGAATGAGCACCACGAGTGAGATCAGGGAAGTGAGGACTGGGCCCCCCTCTTCACATGTGCCCCAGGGGAGGGGGGTCAGGGCGCTTGTGGAGCTGCAAGACAGGGCCGCCCCCCCCGTAGGTACCCCAGGAGAGGGCGGGGGTGGGGGGCTATGAGGCTCCTGCGGAGCTGCTGGAGACAAAGCGGGCTCGGCGCGCCCGCTGCTCACTCTCGGCGTCGCCTCCCCCGAGCAAGTCTCCGAAGGGCAGCGGCGTGGTCAAAACCCTCCCCTTGTTAGCATGGCCCTCTCCCGACAACTCGCCCTCATCCTCCCCGATCGGGGAGCGGCGGACCACGTTCAAACGGATGCCCGTGCAAAGGCTCGGCAATGATTTCTGCAGGGCGCCGCCGCGGCAAACTCTCGGGAGGGCCTGGGGGCCCCAATTGGAATTGCCCGTTTTGAAATAGCCCTTCTTGAACACCAGTGTTGCGGCCGTTCGAGGATGGAGATTATGAAAGAGAGATGTTGGGGGATAGTTGTGAAGTGCGCGGGGGGTTGAGAGAGGGCAGAGAGGCGCGGGTGGGGGGGCAAACATTTAGTGATCGCCCCCTCCTTCTTGACCCCTATATGTTTCGTTCGAGCTCAAGCGGGGAGGGGTCTACCTTTTAGTGAACGCAGTCTTTCCCCCAGATGTTCTTGCGTGCTCAAGCGGGGGGGTACCATATTCTTGCTCACTCCTCTTTTCCTCCTCCCTGCCATCCCTGCCCTCTCATCCTTTTTTTTGAGTGAAGCTGTCCTAGTCTTCGAACTTCGCCTGGTCCAGCGTATCCAGCTCCTCCAGGGTCGGGGGGCGCATCCTGCGCGCGATCTCGTGCGCGCGACGGTACTCAGCATATGCGTCGTCGGACTCCTTGCCAGCCGCGCGAAGCACGG